GCTCTTCACAACCTCCACCTTCAAGGCCGGCGTCTTGAGCGCGGCGAGGTTGCTGGGCTCTCCGGCGCCCTCCAGCAGAGCTTTATACGTGCCGATCTCGCGCTCCAGCTGGACCTTGGTGCTGAGGAGCATCTGGTAGTCACGGCTCTGCTGCAGCGTGTTCTCGCGCACCGAGGTGAGCTCGCCCTCCAGAGCGCCAGCCAGCTGAGCCAGAGAGAAGAGCTGAGCCTGGTACTGAGCCTGCGCCTCCACCAGACGCTGCTCCAGATTCCCCTTCTGCAGCACAACACAGGTGATCCGGCAATTAAACACACATCTGACGCATGATGTGCATGATCAAATACAAAATAATTCTGCATTAGCATACTGACTATACTCTAATAATCATTAGTAAACTTAGCACAAAAGATGTCTCTTCTGCTCACCAAGGCTTACTATTTACTGTAAAAATTGTGAAATATTTATACAGTTTAAAACAGCTGTTTCTATGTGAATCTATGTTAAACTGTAATGTATTTCTGTGATGCGCAGCTGTATTTTCAGCATCATTACTCCAGTCTTCAGTGTCACATGATCTTCAGAAATCATTCTAATATGCTGAGAAGCATTTCTGATTATTATCAATGTTGAAAACAGTTGTGCTGCACAATATTTTTGTGCAAACCGTGATGCATTTTATTTTTCAGGATTCACAGATGATTAGAAAGTTCAAAAGAACAGCATTGATTTGAAATGGACATTTTAATAGCCTATAGTGTCACTTTTGATCAATTGAATGCGTCCTTGATGAATAGAAGTATTAATGTTTTAAAAATTGTACTGACCCCGGACTTCTGAAAGTGAATGCAAATAAAACTATTTTATTTATATTATATTATATTTTTAACGTTTAAAATTGAAACGTGTTTATAACTGACTTTTTCATTCATTTTGGATTCTTTTATTTTTCTTTGAATTTTTCGCATGCAGTGCATTCTGGGATTTTTTTCTGTAAGGATACATGCAATGCTGTTGTAGGATTTGGCCAAAACCATAATTTTTCTTAGTTATTAATTATTTTTGCATATCTTCATGTCAGGAGGGAATGATGCCTTATAAAGACATACTCGGCGAAAAGGAGACGTTCAAAAGTAACACTCTCATAATGTTTGCATAGCAACGTTCCCTTAGCGTTTTTATGCAAGAAAAAGTTACTTAAACACTGGACATTTTTTGAGCATTCAAAAGTAACATTCTCATAATGTTTGCAAAATAATAAACAATCTACTTAATGTGTTCACTAACATTCACATAACCATGAAAAAGTGTTTTTAAAACATCTAAAAACAGGACATAACTTAACATGTTTTTACCTCCACCAGCGCGGCGTCCAGCTGCGTCTGCAGACTCAGGCTCTGTTTGCGGTTGCCGGTGATTTCGGAGCTGCCGCTGACGGTGGTCTCTGTGATCAGCTCCACCTCCGCCTGCTTCTTCTCCACCTGAACCACAGCAGCAGCAGCCTCAGTGTTGACAATGTTGCTAAAAGTTGCTACAGGATGTTGTGATGTCATTGGGTGATGATGACGTCATCATGTAACGATGACGCAAAACTGCATCATCGCATAGAATCCACAATACATAATTCAAAATATGTTCATTTAGATTTGTTGATAAAAATAAGAAAATTTAATTTAGACTATCTGTAAAAGTAATATGAACACAACATGTTAATGATTAGATATTTTCACGTTTCAAAACTACACTGAATTGAACCGTTGCACATTTTTGAACAATTACTTGTGATGCATTTTCTTATAAACTATAAAACTACGCATTCCGAACAATTATGATTTTAAGCAGTATACTGGTAGTTAGTTAGTATGCTACAGTTTCAGAAAAGTCCATAAGAACAGGGCACAATATTAATTTTCCGTATTATTTTTTCACAGGTGTTTTACCTGTATTTTACATTCCGCATTGTATTTTGTGTTAGGTTTACAGGAAATATCTGTAAACTTAACACATAATATCCTGTCAGAAAATTACCAGTACCTTTTCTGCTTGTCTTACAGTGTACCTAACTGATCAACAACAGACAAACTAATAACAATGAGTATCTTAAATGAAGAAATATTATTTAACTATTACTGCTAGGCACTTCTCTCCAACTCTCTACAGACTGGCTTTTTGTGTAATTTAGAGGGAAAATCTATGCCTTTTTATCATTTTATTCACTTTTAAAAAGTTGCTAAAAGTTGCCAAATTATTTTTAAAAATAGCTACATTTGTTGCTAAGTGCTTTTTGGAAAAAAAGAAGAAAAGAAAAAGCTAGATCTTGCAACAAAACTGCTGAGATGTCCAGACTGAGCGCTGTGTTGTTTGTACCTGTTTGGTGTACCAGTTCTCGGCCTCCCGGCGGTTCTTCTCGATGTCCGTCTCGTACTCGGAGCGCATCTCAGCCAGCACTCGAGACAGATCCGTGCTCTCGATCTCCTTCACATCCACCGTCACGGTGCCCATCATCTGCCCACGCAGGGCTATCATGTCCTGAGTTTCACAAAACCAGTTTAAAGAGGCCTGGAACTAACATTTTAGCTTGTGTTGTTTAGTGTGTTTAGCAAGACAAACATAAAAAAAAACATTAAAAACAATTGACTCAATTGACATTTAATTTTTTTTCTCCCTCTCCCTATCACTCTATATATTCATATGTGACCCTGGAGCACAAAACCAGTCAAAAGGGTCAATTTTTTTAAATTGAGATTTATACATCATCTGAAAGCTGAATAAATAATAGGATAGGACAATATTTGGCCGAAATACAACTATTTGAAAATCTGGAATCTGAGGGTGCAAAAAAATCTAAATATTGAGAAAATCATCTTTAAAGTTGTCCAAATGAAGTTCTTAGCATTGCATATTACTAATCAAAAATTAAGTTCTGATATATTTACGGTAGGAAATTTACAAAATATCTTCATTAAACATGATCTTTACTTAATATCCTAATGATTTTTGGCATAAAAGAAAAATCAATAATTTTGACCCATACAATGTATTGTTGGCTATTGCTACAAATATACCCCAGCGACTTAATACCGATTTTGTGCTCCAGGGACACATATATATTAGGTCTCGCAATATTATCAAAAATACATAAATCAATTATATTTTTTTTATATATAAAATATATAAATAGTTATATAAAAATATGTACTTTCTGCTATTTATACTATTATTGCAAATAGTGGCAATTAACTGCACCTCAGTATTGTAGTACATTACGCAATAAAACGTATTGAGTGTAAATTATCGTTTTAATTTAAATAATTAAATGGATGCCACCTTATTGGGACAATGAATCCCTCCCTACACCTACCCGATACTTAATATTTTCAACTTTTCAATTATCTCCTTCATTTTTATTAAAAATAAATGCCTTTCCGAAGCGATATGAGATTTGAGGCGGATTCGAACTCGGGTCATCGCGTCAAAAATGAGATTGAGGTCTCCGCAGAGCAAAAGTGGGCGTTCCTGACATTGTGGGTGTTTTCAAACTGCTGGGTGTTTAAATGATACCCCTTACCTGACCCCACCCCTAAACCTATCCGTCACTATGACGTCAGCCAATCAGGTAACATGGTCGAAAACGCCCCTCTGTTTTGGCCTGGATGGGCGGAGTTAGTGTAAATAGCTTCTGCCAACAAGGCGAGCAATTTGCACTTAGTGTAAATAGACGCTCCGTAAAAAAATGTATTATTATACATAACTAATATATAATAAATAATAAATTTATATGTGTTTGTTTAAATATAATGTAATTATATTATTTTTTTATTATAAATTATATTACATTACAATTATATAATAATATTAAATAAATTATATTATAATATAATAAAAGATCATATAAATAAATATTTTTCATGGCTGTGAGAAAGGAAAGTGTGGTCACCTCCTGGTGCGCGTCTCTGAGAGCGGCGCACTCCTTCTCCAGGCCCGTGACCTCCGGCAGTAAGACGGCGTTGGTGGAGTCATACTCCTTCTTCAGGGTCCTCAGACCGGCGATGTCTCCCTCCACAGACTGACGCATGGCCAGCTCCGTCTCGAACCTGCGCGGCACGGTTAAAACGCTCACTTTCACTCTTCACACCATAACGACAACTGCAACGCATTAGTAATCGTTCTGCTATGAGAAAAGGAAATCCGCACCACAACTATAACGATAATGACACGGACGAACAATATCGCTGGAATCACCTACAGAGCGATTTTCTTTCCAGCTGGTGCACGATAAAAACATTGACGGCCAATCACAACCCTTTTTGCTTTAAAGAGCTCGAGTATTTAAAGCGGCAGTTGATGAAAGTATAGTTAAAGTTATCGCTCTGTGGATGCTAATATAGATATCACTATAGTTATAGTTATCGTTCATTATCGTCCACTGGTGTCAATGCTAATATAGTTATCATTCGCCAGTATCGACGCTTATATAGTTATCGTGATAATTATCGTTATAGTTAATGTCCACTGCTGTGGATACAGTTATCATTATAGTTATCGCTCATGGTGTGGATGCTAATATAGTTATCGTTATAGTTATTGTTCATGGTGTGGACGATAATATAGTTATAGTTATCGCTCATGGTGTGGATGCTAATATAGTTATTGTTATAGTTATTGTTCATGGTGTGGACGATAATATAGTTATCGCACATGGTGTGGACGTGAATGTAGTTATCGTTATAGTCATCACTCATGGTGTGGATGCTAATATAGTTATAGTTATCGCACATGGTGTGGACGCGAATATAGTTATCGTTATAGTCATCACTCATGGTGTGGATGCTAATATAGTTATAGTTATCGCACATGGTGTGGACGCGAATATAGTTATCGTTATAGTCATCACTCATGGTGTGGATGCTAATATAGTTATAGTTATCGCACATGGTGTGGACGCGAATATAGTTATCGTTATAGTCATCACTCATGGTGTGGATGCTAATATAGTTATAGTTATCGCACATGGTGTGGACGCGAATATAGTTATCGTTATAGTCATCACTCATGGTGTGGATGCTAATATAGTTATAGTTATCGCACATGGTGTGGACGCGAATATAGTTATAGTTATAATCATCACTCATGGTGTGGACGATAATATAGTTATAGTTATCGCACATGGTGTGGACGATAATATAGTTATCATTATAGTCATCACTCATGGTGTGGATGCTAATATAGTTATAGTTATAGTCATCACTCATGGTGTGGACGATAATATAGTTATAGTTATCGCACATGGTGTAGACGCGAATATAGTTATCATTATAGTCATCACTCATGGTGTGGATGCTAATATAGTTATAGTTATCGCACATGGCGTGGATGCTAATATAGTTATAGTTATCGCACATGGCGTGGATGCTAATATAGTTATAGTTATCGCACATGGCGTGGATGCTAATATAGTTATAGTTATCGTATAGTTATTGTTCATGGTGTGGACGTGAAAATAGTTATCGTTATGGTCATCATCGTGGTATGGATGCTAATATAGTTATAGTTATCGCACATGGTGTGGACGGGAATATAGTTATAGTTATTGTTCATGGTGTGGACGTGAAAATAGTTATCGTTATAGTCATCACTCATGGTGTGGATGCTAATATAGTTATAGTTATCGCACATGGTGTGGACGCGAATATAGTTATAGTTATAGTTACTGTTCATGGTGTGGACGTGAAAATAGTTATCGTTATAGTCATCACTCATGGTGTGGATGCTAATATAGTTATAGTTATCGCACATGGTGTGGACGCGAATATAGTTATAGTTATAGTTACTGTTCATGGTGTGGACGTGAAAATAGTTATCGTTATAGTCATCACTCGTGGTGTGGACGCGAATATAGTTATAGTTATAGCACATGGTGTGGACGCGAATATAGTTAT